GCGGCCACGGCCGGCCCTTGCTGGCCGTCCGGCAACAACTTCCGAACAAACTGACCTCAAATAACATGTCATGACATATAAACTGATTTATTACTGAAAACATGAAGGTTTACACAAGGACTGAACTTTGGCCGCGGCGGACGCACCGTGCGCCGCCGACGGCGTTGTGCCGTTTTACGACCGAATCTCAAATATTCTCAGCAATTCCAACTTAACTGAATGTGATTAATAATCTACTAAATAAATCTCATAAAAATGCTCGAGAACAAGGAACTTAACATATTGAGCAAGCAAGTACGGCCCGTGGTGCGCTACGTGCGCAACCACGTCACCTTTGGCCGCAACACCGCAAACATGCCTAATCATCCGAACACTGTAGTTAAACTAAACATGATTTTTCATATAAAGGCTAAATATGCGAGGATAGTTCGGAGGATTTACTTAGACATAACATGATCGGCACGGCTACGGCTTTTACCACACATAACACACATGCACGTCTAACTAAAATTTGAACTTAATAAACATGATAATCTCGGTCAACAACCGTCGGGAATTACCTCTGATTAAGCCTGAGTGACTAATCTTTTCGAATTCCCGTACTCGGCCGTGACCCTCCGCGTGTGTGCGATGTCGTGCGGTAACTTGCGACGTAGCGTGCGATGGCTTGCGGTACGTGCGACGGACTTCTATAACACTCGTAGATGCTTGCGTACGCCTGACCACTGAGCGATGTGCTGACTGCCTTGAAGAACTACTGCTACGAGTGCAACGATTGCTACTTGCGTGCGATTAATCGTGCGATGTGCGATAGCTCGGCGATAATTTACGGTGCTTGCGGTAGTACCCTTTCCAAACTACTCTCTCTCACTCGGGAGTAAACTTATAATGGTTGAAGGTGAAGAATGTATGCTAACTTTAACTATATAAAGAAAGATGAGAAATTTTCATCCAACTTCTTCCTTTTATACTAAAGGGCCGAAGAGGTGCATTAGGGACTAATGATGTGGCTAATATTGCTAAGGACACTTGGAGGTGTTTAGCCCTCTTAAACTAATGTCTAATCCTTCTACTACTTCAAATCATGCCACGCCAACCTCACTTAAAAGTGAAGAAAATTGAGATAAAGCACACCTTTTTTTCCACTAAAAATAATACGGCAATTTGGAGGAAAATTTTAAAAATCCGAACACTTAATACCAATCTCATTTCTCACTTGATGCATACGGTTTTTGACATAGTGGAATACTAATTCCGTACGGCATTTAATACTAATCTTGGATTAATTAATATTTAATACTTCAATTATGTTTAATTATTACCAAAATTATTCCGAACGTAAACGGTACGTCGAAAATAATTTCCGGTAATTTCGACTGAAAAGACTGAATATAATTAATTCCGAAAATTAATATCAGAACTAAAAATATAATTTATACTAAAATTAACGGGATATTACAATCCTCCCTCCTTACAAAATTTCTGTCCTCAGAAATTCAGAACATAACTGAAAATACATGAACTATGTACATAGAACAAGAAAATATGTACATCAGAACTGAAAATCTGGAAAACGAGCGCGAATATCGGACTCCTCCTCCCAAGTAGCTCCGTGGCGATCCCACTGAATACGCACGAGGGGAATATCTCGCTTCCGGAGCCGACGAACCTGACGGTCTAATACAGCTACCGGTCGCTCCTCGTACGATAGATCTAGCTGAACCTGAATATCTGAGTGGGGAATAACATGATCGGGGTCGCACACGTACTTCCACAACATCGATGCGTGAAATACATTATGAATGCCTGATAACTCGGGAGGTAGGGCTAATCGATACGCGACCTCGCCTACTCGCTCGAGAACCTCGAACGGACCGATGAATCGAGGGTGCAGCTTCCCTCTCTTTCCGAATCGCACAACTCCGCGAATCGGACGAACTCGTAGAAAGGCTGGCTCGCCAACCTCAAACTGAATGTCTCATCGATGATGATTGGTGGAAGATTTCTGTCGACTCTGCGCTGTCTTGAGTCTCTGCCGGATCAACTCGACCTGCTCCGCTGTCTCCTCAATCAACTTAGGACCGAGTACTCGTCGCTCTCCGACGTCGTCCCAATAGAGAGGGGAACGACACTTGCGACCGTAAAGTGCCTCGTAAAGAGCCATCTGAATAGAAGAATGGTAGCTGTTGTTATACGCGAACTCGACATACGGCAACAACGACTCCCACTTAGCACCCCTGTCAACAACCAAAGCGCGAAGCATATCCTCAAGCATCTGAATAGTCCGCTCTGACTGACCGCCTGTCTCCGGATGATAGGCTGAACTGAACTCTAGCTTCGTGCCCATTACCTCATGCAAGCTATGCCAGAATCTGCTGACGAATCTGGGATCTCTGTCTGATACAATAGTGACGGGCACTCCGTGGAGTCAGATGATCCCACGGGTATATATCTCAGCCAACTTGTCCAGAGACATCTTCATCGAAACGGGTAAGAAATGCGCGACCTTAGTCAATCTGTCGACCACGACCCAAATAGCGTCGTGATGTTCAGACGACCTCGGCAATCCCGTAACGAAATCCATCGTGACTTCCTCCCACTTCCACCTCGGAATCGGCAGTGGCTGCAGGAGGCCAATCGGACTCTGATGTTCGACCTTGACTTGCTGACAGTAAAACATCTCCTGACAAACTCGGCGACGTCCTTCTTCATACCTCGCCACTAAAATGACCCTTTCAGGTCGTGATACATCTTCGTGCTCCCGGGATGGGCCAGATAGGGTGCGGTATGAGCCTCTGATCAAATCTCCTTCCGCAACGCCTCGACCTTCGGGACCACGATCCTGCCTCTGAACTCTAGGGCACCATCGGCACCTAGCTGAAAACCCTCGACGCCTCCGGCGAGAACCTTGGCCTCTATAACATGAGTGAACTCGTCAGAAGCCTGCTCTCACCGGATTCTCTCTCTCAGCGTCGGCTGAAGCTGGATAGCACTGACACTAGCACTGATACTCCCCGAAACTGCTATGGGAAGTGCATCAATCACCTGAAGCTGCATCCGGGCAAACTCCTGAATCAATGGACTCTGCTGAGTAATGATGTACGTCAAATCACCCCTCACCTTTCGGCTTAGGGCGTCAGCAACGACGTTCGCCTTTCCCGAATGATACTGAATCGAGCAGTCGTAATCCTTGACGAGTTCTAACCAACGGCGCTGTCTCATGTTGAGCTCCTTCTGAGTAAAAATATACTGCAGGCTCTTATGATCTGTGAAAATCTCACAATGACCGTCGTAAAGATAGTGTCGCCAAATTTTGAGAGCATGAACGACTGCTGCTAACTCCAAGTCGTGCATCGGATAGTTCTGCTCATGCGGCTTAAGCTGACGTGAAGCATACGCGACGACCTGGCCGTCCTGCATAAGGACACATCCCAAGCCCTGTCTCGAAACATCGCCGAAGATGGTAAAACTCCAAGAAGGATCGGGAATAGTCAACACCGGTGCTGAAGTTAATCTCCTCTTGAGCTCCTGAAAGCTCGACTCACATCGGTCAGTCCACTCGAACTTCACAGACTTCCTCGTCAGCTGGGATAGAGAGAGGGCGATCTTGAAAAAGCCCTCGATGAACCTGCGATAGTAACCAGCTAGACCGAGAAAACTGCGAACCTCGGATGAACTCCTCGGTGTCGACCAGTTCTGAACAGCTGAGACCTTGGAAGGATCCACCTCGATACCTGCCTGAGTAATCACATGACTCAGAAAGGATACTCGCTGGAGCCAGAACTCGCATTTGGAGAATTTTGCAAACAACTTTTCTCGTCTGAGGGTTTCGAGAACCACCCTCAGATGCTCCTCGTGCTCCTTCTGGCTCTTCGAGTAGATAAGAATATCGTCAATAAAGACAATAACAAACTGATCGAGGTAGGGATGGAAGATACGGTTCATAAGGTCCATGAAAAACTGCTGGCGCATTGCTGAGACCGAATGGCATGACAACGAACTCGTAATGGCCGTAACGAGTCCTGAAAGCGGTCTTAGCGATATCTGACTCCTTAATCTTTAGCTGGTGGTAGCCTGATCGTAAATCAATCTTTGAGAATACACAGGATCCCCTCAACTGATCAAATAAGTCGTCAATCCTGGGAAGCGGATACTTGTTCTTGATTGTCAACCGGTTAAGATCCCGGTAGTCGATACACATGCGCATGGATCCGTCCTTCTTCTTAACAAAGAGAACGGGTGCTCCCCAAGGTGACACGCTCGGTCGGATGAAACCGAGTCGTAACAGCTCCTGAATCTGAGTCTTAAGCTCCTGCAACTCCTTTGGCGCCATGCGGTACGGGGCTTTGGACACTGGACCGGCTCCTGGAATGAGATCGATTGAGAACTCCACCTGCCGGTTAGGCGGTCCTCCTGGAAGCTCGTCTGGGAATACGTCCACAAACTCCCGAACGACTGGAACATCGTGAGGTGAACGTGCTTTCCGAGATTCATCGACAAGGCTCACCAGATAACCCTGGCAGTTGCCTCGTCGTAGCAACTTAGTGGCTTTCACCATCGAAACAACATGAGGCAAAGAACGATTCCTGGAGCCGAAGAAAGTGATCGATCGTCTCCTGAAAGATACCGAGTAATCTCCCGGTCATGACATCTGATATCTGCATGATAAAAGGATAGCCAATCCATTCCGAGAATAAGGTCGAAGTCCCTCATCTCGAGAACAAACGCGTCGGTAGACAATACTCGGCCACCGATGGAAAGGCTAAGATCTGATGCTTTAGCTGAAGTCACTATCTTTCGTCCTGAGGCCAAACTCACCTCAAGAGGATCGATAGCGGTAGTAGCACGAACTCCGATGGCGTCAAGACATCGTCGTGAAATGAAAGTATGTGTCGCTCCAGTATCGAATAAAGCAAACACAGGAACATTATTAAGAACAACCATTCCGGACATGGTACCTGGCTGCTGTTCGGCCTCTGCCTGATCGACGGCGTAAACTCGGGCCTGCTGTCTGCCCCTCTGCTGCTGCTGCTGAGGCTGCCTCTGAGCCTGCTGACGGGGCTGCTGCTGCGGTGGCTGCTGAGGCTGCTGCGCCTTCTTCGGACAACGGTTCGCGAAGTGTCCAGGCTCGTGACAGTAGTAGCACACATCCTGACCAAAGCGACACTCGTCTCGGTGAAGTCGTCCGCATGTCGAGCACTAGGGGATCTGCTGTAACCTCCGTCGGGTCCTCTTATCTGCCGGGGCACCTTTTCCTTTCCTCTTGTTGTTCTTTGGCGGCTAGGTAGATGGTAGAGCTGGCAACGGTGGAACTGAAGATGACTGAGCAGGGGCGGATGGCTGGAACTGATCACGAACGGCCTCCCTCCTAATGCTGGCATCCACCTCCTGGGCAATGGAGACTGCACGTGCATACGTCTGTGTCCCGTGGCCTACGATGTTATGACGGACTGTTGGGTAAAGCTCGTCAATGAAACGCTGTGCTCGCTGGGCCTCCGTGCGGACCAAATCAGGAACAAAAGCTGCAAGTCTCGTGAATTCCCTCTCGTACTCGTCAACAGTACGATTACCCTTCTGGAGCGATAGAAACTGACGCTCCATCTCTGCTCGGTAGTATGTGGGGTAGTACTTCTCGCGGATTAAATCCTTGAGCATCTCCCATGTACATCCCGCCTTCTCTCCGGGATGCATGCTCCAGTAAGCCTTCCACCAGAGCCTGACATCACCGGTGAGCTGAAGCTGAGCGCAAATGACGCGATATCTCTCAGGGCACTCCATGACCTCGAAGATAAACTCTAGGCCCTGAATCCACTCGTCAACTATGCGAGGATCTCCCTGCCCTGAGAACTTTTCGGCATGATAGTCGCGGAACTGGCCGACCACTGTAGCCTGAGTAGGAACTGGATGATCGGGTTCCCTACGTGGCGGCATCTGAACATTGAGAAAGTTCAAAATTATTGAACAAATGATGATATTCTGACTGATTACTGAAGCACACAAATCTCTTGACGAGTTGCCATAAATGGCCGATAAATACTGACGTTAAACCTGAGGAACTCTAGAGTCATATCGAAAGATACTAAAGTCTAGAGTCATGTTTGAGTGTACTGATCTCTAAAGTCAGGTCTGAATATACTGAATGCCCTGAATTCTAGAGTCATGTCCGAACTCCAAAGTCTGAACCTGATTCGAGCATCTTAACTAAAGTCCTGATTCTTAATTCTGAGCATAGACAAAGTAATATGTTTATAACTGAAAACATAAATCAGCACTTACCTGGAGTCGGCGAGGCGTGAGCATGACGGTTCAGGTTTTTCTGAAAATTTCTGACTGAAAAACTTTCAGAGACGCAGAAACGTGCTCTGATACCAATTGAAACACCCTGACTTTTAACTTATCAGAGTACGCAATTTTTCACCATTTTATGAATATATAAAATAAAATACTTATTTTGCGAAAACTGATTCGGGATGTTACCGTGAAAAACTTGATTTTTCTGAAACCGTTAAAATTTTTAAACTGATAAATAAAAACGATTTTAATGTCTTATCCGACTAATGTCGGAACAAAAACTGAATATAAGTACTGAAAGTTTAGCGGAACATAGCGTGGCAAAACATATATATACATATAGTCACAAATGTCCTGAACAACCCGCCCGCTCACTCCCCGTCTCCGACCCTGCGACATGAAAAACATGAAATACGTGGGGGCGTGAGCACTAAAACACTTGTGCTCCGCAGAAACTCATACTAATGTAAACATTGTAAATAATAACAATATCATGAACTAAGCATATATAACTGAACTGAACTGAACTAATATCTGATACCGGTCTGATCTCACGACATAAGTCACGTAACTGATAACTGAAATCTGTCGGCACAAACTAATACCGCAATCTCCCGGCACAAACTAATACCGGAACATGTGCACACTCTAGTGGTTAGATTAGGCCACTAGAACCCAGAATGGACCGGCGACCATTCCGAGTGGATACTGAATATACATACCTCGAACATGGTAGCGTAATTATGAACAATGTAGTACTTAGTCTGAGTCCCCACCTGAACTGCTGAAACTGAACGGTAGTGCTGATGCCTGATCAAACTGAAAATAATATAAACAATTACTATTGACTATGCTCAGACTGAAAATTTAACTGTTTAATTATGTTAAGATGCTCTACTGAACCTGACATGATATTCGGACTTATTTCGTATTACTGAAATCGGCTAAGTACGAAACTGAACTAACATTAATTAACTGAACTGAGCTTGACCGGGAATTTTAACTGAAAATAACACTGAAACTGAAAACCGGGATTGAAACTGACAATAACTGACTGAACCGGTCCAGCCGGTCTGAACCGGTCTGGACCGGACTGCCGGTCCGCTGA